TCAGCATATCAAATTACCCCAATAATTCAATTTTTTGTTAAAATCAAACTAAGTTTAGTTTTGGACTCTTTGGACCTTAATGTGGACCAATTCAAAAACATGGCCCAAAATCCATAATGATAAATACATGGTTATTTCAGCATATTAAAGAACCCCAAGAATTCAAGACTTAGAATTAAACAACATTGAAATAGACCAAAAAAATAAATAAAGTATTGTTTTTCGGCCCCCTTTTCCTAAACGGTTAGGGTCATAATCCCCAAAATCAATTACAACCTTCCATTTTTAGTATGAAACCTTGTGGTAAAATTTCATAGAGATCCATAGACTTATATTCAAGCTGTAGTCCAGAAACTAAATCCAGGGCCAAACTGATAAAAGATTACCCTCATTGGAATTTTCTTGACAACATAGTGCATGTTTCAATTTCAAATGAATCTAGTTAACATAGAAGACATTTCACTAGTAAAACTTAATTTGAACATCTTTATAGCAAGTCAAATATAACTAACTAACCTTTCAAAAGACTCATTACAATAAATAAATTAAATAAATATCATTACAAATTTTACTTGAATCTTTCATAGCAGCTATAAAGTTGAATTCAAGTCCTGTTCAATTCAATACAATTGGGTCACAATTTTACAGGTAACAAAGATCAGCTCCATATTAACTATAAATAATGCACAGCTGACCATTGATAATAAACTGCTTTGCTGAGCGAGCTGGAATCGCCCGCAGAGGTCCAACCCTGAACAGTTAGGGCAAAAATGGACACAATATTCAAGCTTGATACAGGTCTGAATTTGGATTGTAATTAAATATTTGATATATTATAGGTTTCTGAAAAAATGTAGTCAAAGAACTTGAAATTGGTTATATGAAAGATTTCTTGCTGTTGTGCAATACACTGTGCTGTTGCGCAATACTTAGTAAATCTGTTGTCAGATTATAAACAAATAAAATCTTATAACTCGGAAACGTAAAATCGAAAATTTATAAAAACAATAGGGAGCTCATGTCGATAGAAATAAACAATTCACCAAAGTTTCTTGCAAATTGGTGAATTTTTTTTTGAGTTATTGTCCGAAAACTGGAAAATCCCCCCTTTTTTAATGAATAAAACCCCAAAACTCAGAAACCGTAAATCCGAAATTTAAAAAAAAATAAATAAAATGCTCCGCAGGGCGCAGCTTGATACGACCGCAGAGGTCGAACCCTGAACAGTTGGGGCAAGTATGGACACAACATTCAAGCTTGATACAGCTCTGAATTTGGATTGTGATTAAATATTTGACACAGCATAGGTTTCTGACACAGAATGAATGTGGTCTAAGAACTTAAAAATTTCAAATTGGACATTCACCTATTATGGTCCAATATCCAAAATCTAAATACATGGTTAGATTCAGCATATCAAAGAACCCCAAGAATTCAATTTTTGATGAAATCAAACAAAGCTTAATTTTAGACCCTTTTGATCTCAATGTGGGCAAAGTTGATAACGGGGCCCAAAAATCAAAAATCTAAATACATGGTTAGATTCAGCATATTAAAGAACCCCATATATTCAATTTTTGTTGAAATCAAACAAAGTTTAATTTTGGACCCCGATTTGGACCAACTTGAAAACTGGGCCCATAATCAAAAATCTAAATACATGTTTAGATTCAGCATATCAAAGAACCCTAAAAAAAAATTATTTTTTGTTAAAATCAAACTAAGTTTAATTTTGGACCCTTTGGACCTTTATGTAGACCAATTTGAAAACGGAACCAAAAATTAAGAATCTAAACACACGGTTGGATTCGGCATATCAAAGAACCCCAATAATTCAATTTTTGATGAAATCAAACAAAAAAGTTAAATTTTGGACCCTTTTAACCTCAATGTGGATCAATTTAAAAACGGGGCCCAAAATCCAAAAACTTAATACAAGGTTAGATTCAGCATATCAAAGAACCCCATATATTCAATTTTTGTTGAAATCAAACAAAGTTTAATTTTGGACCCCGATTTGGACCAACTTGAAAACTGGGCCCATAATCAAAAATCTAAATACATGGTTAGATTCAGCATATCAAAGAACCCCATATATTAAATTTTTGTTAAAATCAAACTAAGTTTAATTTTGGACCCTTTGGACCTTTATGTAGACCAATTTGAAAACGGAACCAAAAATTAAGAATCTAAATACACGGTTAGATTCGGCATATCAAAGAACCCCAATAATTCAATTTTTGATGAAATAAAACAAAGTTAATTTTTAGACCCTTTGGACCTCAATGTGGACCAATTTAAAAACGGGGCCCAAAATCCAAAAACTTAATACAAGGTTAGATTCAGCATATTAAAGAACCCCAAGAATTCAAGAATAAAACCCCATTGAAATTGATCAAGAAATAAGCAATTTATACGAAGTATCTTCTTTTGCACAATACTGTGCAATTGAATATTTCTTGCTATTGCGCAATACTGTACAATTGACAATTTCTTGCTATTGCGCAATATTGTGCTATTGGATATTTCTTGCTATTGCGCAATACTGTGCAATTGAAGATTTCTTGCTATTGCGCAATACTGTGCAATTGAAGATTTCTTGCTATTGTGCAATACTGTGCAATTGAAAATTTCTTGCTATTTCCTGTTTGGTGTGTATCTCCTACCATATCATTATTTGCTTTTCAATATAAATCAGAAATAACCAACTTAAAATGGAAAATTTTAAAAGAAAAAAAAAAGAAAAAAATAAAAAAAATCCCCCCCCCCCCAATTTTTTGAACCCCCTTATGATTCATCACCCCCAAACTCAATCCCAGCCTTCCCTTTGTAGTATGGTACCTTGCAGTACAATTTCAGAGAGATCCATACACTTGAACACAAGTTAGTGTCTGGAAACTAGAAAAATGCTTATTTTTGGCCCCTTTTTGGCCCCCAATTCCTAAACGTTTCGGGCAATTACCCCCAAACTCAATTCCAGCTTTCCCTTTGTGATATGGAACCTTGTAGTACAATTTCAGAAATATCCAAACACTTACACACAAGTTATTGTCATGAAACTAGAAAAATGCTTGTTTTTTGCCCCTTTTTTGGCCCCCAATTCCTAAAATTTTGAGGCAATTACCCCCAAAATCAATTACAGCCTTCCCTTTGTGATATGGAACCTTGTGGTACAATGTCAGAGAGATCCATACACTTACACACAAGTTATTGTCTGGAAGTTACAAAAATGCTTATTTTTGGCCCCTTTTTGGCCCCTAATTCCTTAACTGTTGGTACCATAACCCCCAAAATCAATCCCCACCTTCCTTTTGTGGTATTGAACCTTATGGTAAAATTTCATGGAGATCCATTCACTTAAACTAAAGTTAGAGTGCGAAAACCAATGTGTCTTCGGACGACGACGACAACGTCATACCAATATACGACCAAAAAATTTTTAATTTTTGCGGTCGTATAAAAAGGAGTTCACGTTAGTAGATATAAACAATTCACCAAAGTTTCATGCATATTGGTTAAAGTGTTTTTGAATTAATGTCCGACATATTGACGACGGACACATGGTCAACTGTATACCATAATACATCCCGTAAACGGGCGTATAAAAATGTATGTTATATAATTATTGTGACACTTTGTGAATTCTGGTATGTCAACCGTATGATATATATTGGTATGTCTACAGAATGATATATATTATATATCATACTGTAGACATACCAGAATTCACATGTGCCACAAAAAATGCATATATACTTAATTTGAATTAAGTTTTTGTTCTTTATTTTTTATTTTCTATTATGGTTTTCAAAATTTAAGACAATAAATTGCATTTGAAAACCTATGTTCTATCTTTTACACTTTAGCTGTGGCGATTATGTAGTTTGGTATGAATATCATATTTGCTTATTCTGTAATTGTCCCTGTAATTAGCGATTTATTTGTGAGAGTAGTTTCCCTTATGGAGGACAATAAAGAGCTGCATAGAGCAAAATTCATGTCATCATTAACATATTTAAATGGATTGAGTTGACATTGATTCTTTTATGCTCAATGCTTTCAATATCAAGTAATCAAAAACAAATGGGACACAGATGATGCCCCCGCTTGCATATATAACGTTATAAAGGGACATAACTCAAGAACTGTAGAATTGACGCTACCCAAATTTGTACTTGATCTGACTTTGTGGTAGTAAGCATTGCTTATAAGTTTCATAACATTTATTTGAGGCAAACCTAAGTTAATGAATGGAAACGAAAAATTCAAAAATTTTTCCATTTGTAAAGGGCAGAACTCTAGAATGGTAAAGTGAAGCCACCAAAATTCGAACTTGATCTGAGTTTTGTGCTAATTAGCATTGTGCATAAGTTTCATAACATTTGGTTGAGGCAAACTTAAGTTAGAGAACAGAAACCAATATTTAAGCAATTTTTCCATTTGTAAAGGGGCATAACTCTAGAACGGTAAAAGTGACGCCACCAAAATTCAAATTTGATCTGTGTATTGTGGTAATAAGCATTGTGTATAAGTTTCATAACATTTGGTTGAGGCAAACTTAAGTTAGAGAATGGAAACCAATATTGGGACATACGTAGAGACTGACAGGAGTACAACTTAATGACCCCTCTACGGCGGGGGCAAATAAAAAAAGTTTTTTAAATGTCTATATCGGTACATCATTTATACTTATCAATTCATGCTTAGCATGGCCAATGCTCAGGCCATTATGTCTGGTATAGAACAAATGTACAATTAGCATGATAAGCAAAGAGAAACCACTGGTGTTAAAAATGTGTTATAAGAGAATCAGATCAGTAATTGGAAAATAAATTATTGGTTCAGGGATTTCTGAATTTTTTCAAAGAAGATTATTTGGGATGATGACGACAAGAGTGGACACACAGAAATGTCTCGCCTGTCCCCCCTTTTAGGCGAGATGGGGAGTAAAACTTTGCAGCAGATGTAATGCAAGAACTAGATTCGAATAATATGTACTATTTCTCATGTTTTGTAAGTATTTTATTTTGACTTTTAACAGAAACAAACTGCTACTGTTTAATTTGTGTTTAAAAAAAATCACAGATTTGTTGTTGGTGAAACCCCCCATTTAATGTCCTCACCACTGCACTAATTCTCACAAACCCATGCACAAAACATGTACATGTAAAATTGTTTCATTATATCTCAGTACACTACCGAACTCAGCGAAATGTTAGTAATTTGGTCCTAGCTTTGATTTGTCTTTCAATTGTTTCATAATTAAAGCTGCACATTATTTTCTTGTATAAAAACTCCATTGCACTAATGACGATGTTTGGGGAAAAACTGTTTTATAATCTGTCTACCCGAGACTGTTTATATTGTTCGTGTCTCCATGGATACGTAAAAATATCTTTTCCCCTCTGAAATGAGAATAATCTTCAAAACACAGTTTTCTTGAATTGTCTAAATACTGATACATAACACAGAAGTTTTATCTTTGAAGTTGGATGTCATCTCATTTTCAATAATGAATCACACGCAGGTTGTGTGTCTATTGGGACATTACGTCAGTTTTTCATACATTTTCCCTGAGGTGTAATGCACTGTCTGTTTCACAATCCACAATGAATCAATAAATGCCATCATTGTCCTCGTATACTACTCCCGTCTTTCAGAAAATGAAAGTACAACACATTTTGAATTTTCCTTCTTTCTTGAATTGGAAGGAAATTGTTTTGTCGATTTGAAAATATTGTACAAGAACACATTCAAAACGCAAGAAGAAGCACAATGGTCGATTCTTTTGCTGGAAGGGTTTACAGTCGTTCACTGCGACCAGTAAAATTTGTAAAATGAAATTCATAATGAACATAAAATCACGATGCATTATTTCCTTAGTTGATAAGATCATGTTGAGCGGAAATGAAATAATTATGAAGTTTGAAATTATTGTCTAAGCTAACATTTCATTATAGATTATATATTCTGAAGATTTAAAAGTTTTATCAAAATGCTTGCTGGATAATCCAAATATCTTCAAATTACCTGAAAAAGAAAGAAAAAGAGTTTAAAACATTGTTAAGCTAGCCTAATGAAAGTAACATACTTGCAAAATATGATGAATTGATAGGCAACCACAGGGAATTCTAAGTGGCAGCCCAGACAGTTTCAAGAGAACCACATTAACTAAAGTTCATTAATTTACTCATATATTCTTATTTCTATCACAGGTTTCCGTGTAGCAATAAATGTGCTTCGCTAAGGGGTTGCTGGATACGACCGCAGAGGTCCAACCCTCAACAGTTGGGGTAAAAATGGACACAATATTCAATCTTGATACAGGTCTGAATTTGGATTGTTATTTTAATAAAATTGTTATTTTAATAAAATGCTCCGCTGGGGCCCAGCTTGATACGACCGCAGAGGTCGAACCCTGAACAGTTGGGGCAAGTATGGACACAACATTCAAGCTTGATACAGCACTGAATTTGGATTGTGATTAAATATTTGACACAGCATAGGTTTCTGACACAGAATGAATGTGGTCTAAGAACTTATTAATATTTAATTTACCTATTCAAACCATATCATTATTATTTGCTTTTATATATAAATCAGAAATAACCAATTTTAAAATGGAAAATTTTAAAGAAAAAAAAAATCCCTCCACTAAATTTTTTGAACCCCATTATGATTCATCACCCCCAAACTCAATCCCAGCCTTCCCTTTGTGGTATGGTACCTTGCAGTACAATTTCAGAGAGATCCATACACTTGAACACAAGTTATTGTCTGAAAACTAGAAAAATGCTTGTTTTTAGGCCCCTTTTTGGCCCCCAATTCCTAAATGTTTAGAGCAATTACCCCTAAACTCAAACCCAGCTTTCCTTTTGTGATATGGAACCTTGTAGTACAATTTCATAAAGATCCATACACTTACACACAAGTTATTGTCCTGAAACTAGAAAAATGCTGGTTTTTTGCCCCTTTTTGGCCCTAAATTCCTAAAATTTTGAGGCAATTACCCTCAAACTCAATCCCAGCCTTCCCTTTGTGGTATGGTACCTTGCAGTACAATTTCAGAGAGATCCATACACTTGAACACAAGTTATTGTCTGGAAACTAGAAAAATGCTTGTTTTTTGCCCCTTTTTTGGCCCCAAATTCCTAAACTTTAAGGGCAATTACCACCAAACTCAAACCCAGCTTTCCTTTTGTGATACCTTTTGTGATATGGAACCTGGTAGTACAATTTCATAAAGATCCATACACTTACACACAAGTTATTGTCCTGAAACTAGAAAAATGCTTGTTTTTCGCCCCTTTTTGGCCCCCAATTCCTAAAATTTTGAGGCAATTACCCCCAAAATCAATCCCAGCATTCCCTTTGTGGTATGGTACCTTGCAGTACAATTTCAGAGAGATCCATACACTTGAACAGAAGTTATTGTCTGGAAACTAGAAAAATGCTATTTTTGGCCCCTTATTTCTAAACGTTTTGGGCAATTACCCCCAAACTCAATTCCAGCTTTCCCTTTGTGATATGGAACCTTGTAGTTCAATTTCAGAAAAATCCATTTACTTACACGCAAGTTATTATCATGAAACTAGAAAAATGCTTGTTTTTTGCCCCTTTTTTGGCCCCTAATTCCTAAAATTTTGCGGCAATTACCCCCAAAATCAATCCCAGCATTCCCTTTGTGATATGGAACCTTGTGGTACAATGTCAGAGAGATCCATACACTAACACACAAGTTATGTCTGGAAGTTACAAAAATGCTTATTTTGGGCCCCTAATTCCTTAACTGTTGGTACCATAACCCCCAAAATCAATCCCAATCTTCCTTTTCTGGTATTGAACCTTATGGTAAAATTTCATGGAGATCCATTCACTTAAACTAAAGTTAGAGTGCGAAAACCAATGTGTCTTCGGACGACGACGCCAACGCATACCAATATACGACCAAAAAATTTTTAATTTTTGCGGTCGTATAAAAAAATATTTGACACATTATAGGTTTCTGACACAGAAAAAATGTAGTCAAAGAACTTGAAATTGGTTATATGATTTGAATTTATATTCAATTGAAGATTTCTTGCTGTTGTGCAATACACTGTGCTGTTGTGCAATACTTAGTAAATCTGTTTTCAGACTAAATACAAAGAATTAGCAAAATAAATTGTGACCCCCAATTTTTTTTATAGAAAATTGATAATTTTTTAAATCTTGAGGAAAAATAAAATGACCCCCCCCCCCCCCCCCCCTCCCCAAAAAAAATTGACAAGTACCCCAAAAATGAATCCCAACCTTCTACTTGTGGTATTGAACCTTGTGGTACAATTTCAGAGCAATCCTGAAACTAGAAAAAGGCTTGTTTTCAGCCCCTAATTTGTCCTGAAACTAGAAAAATGCTTGTTTTGGGCTCCTAATTCCTAAACAGTTGGGACCATCACCCCAAAAAACAATCCCAACCTTCCTTTTGTGGTATTCAACCCTTATATTAAATTTCATAGAGATCCATACACTTAAACTAAAGTTATTGTCCAGAAACCAAATGTCTAAAGATGACGACATGATAGCAATTTACGAACGCTATCTTTTTGCGGTCATGTAAAAACTAAATCAGCTGTGTTCATTAATATATTTTCCCAAGTGCAAATACTTAACATAGCAAACATTATATAAACTGTTAACACAGAGATATGTCTCGCTTATTTGTTATTCTGATAATGCAAATGTTGAAATTAAAATAGCAATACTTTAACATGTAAGTTATGCAAATATTCAAAGTCAATGAACCATGACTGAAGGTACAGGGCTAAACAATCTCCATGGAAATGGGATGTGCCAATGCTAATACAACTGCAAACCAAATACCATTGACTTTTCATAAGTCGTTCCCTTTAAACAAACCTAAACACAAACATTAACTTGTAAACTATGTAAAAGTTTCAAAGTCAATGAACCATAATTAGGGGTGGGGTTATATAATCTCCATGGAAATGAAACTTCCATATGCCAATACATTTGCATACTGAATATCATTGACTTTAAATTAGTGGTTCATCTTAAACTGACCTAGTCTCAAACTAATACATGTAAACTAAGTAAAAGTTTCAAAGTCAATAGACCACGACTGAGGGGTAAGGACCAAATATTCTCCATGGAAATGAGATGTGTTAATGCTTATACAACTGCATACCAATTATCATTGACCTACCACTAACAGTTCCCCTTAAACTGACCTAATCACAAACAAATACATGAAAACTAAGCAAAGTTTCAAAGTCAATAGACCTTGACTGAGGGGGTAGGGCCAAATAATCTCCATGGTAATGAGATGTGCCAATGCTAATAAAACTGCATACCAAATATCATTGACCTACCACTAGGTGGTTCCCCATAAACTGACCTAATCACAAACTAATACATGTAAACTAAGCAAAGTTTCAAAGTCAATCGACCTTGACTGAAGGGGCGGGGCCAAAAAATCTCCATGGAAATGAGATGTGCCTATGCTAATACAACTGCAGACCAAATATCACTGACCTACCACTAGTGGTTCAACATGAACTAGACCTTATCACAAACTAATACATTGTTGACGCCGCAGCCAACTCAACCCTAATTGCCATTTTTTGGTGTTGATTTAACTTTTAGTTTTGGTGCATAAAGTGTTTTGAGGAAATCATGCTTTTGTCTCATCTTTCATAAATCTATGGTTTTTTGTTGGACAGATTTCCTCTCAAATATAAATGATGGCCAGAGGACTGTTCTTGTGTATACATGGTATAGTCCAAGTCAGATCATGGACATGTGTTGTTTTTTATTTTATCTAATATGTTTGTTAATTCCTTCGAGCTTTTTTGTATGTTTCACTATTTCAAGTTCTGTGTCAAAGATGGTTTCTTAACACCAAAGTATTTAGTTATTGATGTAAAATATTTCAAAATATTTTATCTGCTTTTGACAATTTTTGTTTTATTGTAAATAATAAGGAGTGAATTGCAAAATCCTAATCAGTCTCACAGATGCATTTGTATATCAAATCCTAGGTAATTGACTACACTAGTAGCTTCTGAAACATATTTAAACACGAGCATCCAACACTTAAGGCAACTAAGCAAACATCCATCAGATTAAAAAAAAATTATTAGCTTTAAAGGCCATTGGTTTTCTCATGGATTTGTTTTATAATTTGTTACCCCAGTTTACTATCCAGTATGAGGGTCTGGATTGGTTTTACAGAATAGAGAATAATGGCATCCAAATATAATGAATAGAAATAAATGAGCAAATAAGATAAATAAACTGTTGACACAGAGATATGTCTCGCCTATTGGCATAAAATTCAGAAAAAGACAATCTGATGGACAGCAACATTGCTTATTAATTCAGTCACTGGACCATGATCTAGTGGGCAGGGTCTGAAAATGGTAGATAAAATGAGATGTACAGACAGTAATGTAACTTTATAGAAGGTAGTGTTGCGATTGTAAGTAGTTCCTATCAATCTAACTTAAGCAGAAAACTTAACATTGAAAATTGCTTATTAATTGGCTGGACCATGACCTAGGAGACAGGGCCTTGAAATAGTGGTCAAGCTGATATGAACTGATAGTAATGCAACTTCATACAAAATATCACTGATCTATCACAAGTAGATCTAATCAAAATAACTTCAGCAGAAAACTTAACATTGAAAATTGCTTATTAATTGAAAGTCACTGGACCATGACCTAGGGGTCAGGGCCACAAAATAGTCAGTAAAACTGATATTGTACTGTTAGTAAGTAGTGCAACTTTATATTAAATATCAATTATCTATCACAAGCAGTTCCTATCAAACTAACTTCAGCAGAAAAACTAAACAATTGTTGAGGCTGCCGTCATTGTTGCAGGCGAGACAAAAATCAGTATTTTTAAAGATTCAAATAAAAATTTTTAATACAGAAAAAAACTTAACAATTGTTGAGGCTGTCATCATTGTTGCAGGCGAGACAAAAATCAGTATTTTTAAAGATTCAAATAAAAATTTTAATACAGAACTTAAGAATTCCTCAATCCAGATCCTTCAGTTTGAATTTGGTCATTTGACCTGTAGTTAACATACTTCCACTTTTTTCATTTTTATATGCACTACATAATCACCTTTCAGTAACAAGACTGCATTCCATCTTGCCTGCTTTACTTATAACGAATGGATTGAATTCATGTTGAAAGATGAATGTTGACTTCAAGTACATTATTAATATTTCAAGTAAATGAGGTAAAGGTCAGATGAATCCTGCCAGACAGACATGTACACCATTTACTCCATATGCCAAATCTATTTGATCACTGCTTATTATAATTAAAATCTAGTATTTTAGAACACCTTGCCAAGAATTTTAAACTGACCAATTCAATGAACCATGAAAATGGAAGTCAAGGTCAGATGAACCCCAACAGAGGGACATGTACGCCTAAAACCAGAGAATAGGACCTTTGCACGGAAACTTAACATTCAACCAATGAACCATGGAATTGCAGTCAAGGTTAGTTACATTATGACAGACTGATATGATACTAACTATAATTTGATACACCAAATTATCATGAATGGAATGAAGCAGTTAACCCAAACATGAAAACTATATCAATTATATATAAACATTGTAGTTAGTGACCAATTACTCCAAAGGTTATGCTGGTTTTTTTCTCATTCTGAAATAATCTTTTTATCATGCAAAGCAAGAAATTATTTTAAGAACTCAACATTAAATTTAATGGCAAATACTTGTAATCATTTTTATTTCCTCTTCCCTGACCATTATTTTTTTTTTAGAAAAACACACTTCACTTTCCAGAGTTAAATGGTCATTCCCTGTAAATATAGCACAAGAGATCTGGACTTTACAATGAAAACTCCTACATTGACAAGACGTCAAGGTAAAGCGAACCTTGTATTCTGAATACATGTACCAAATATTCCATCACAAGTAAAAAATTCACTCAATAAATTTTTTTTTCTGCAGTCACTGAACCATGAAAATGACACCAAGGACACTAGACAAATGATATATATATGGCAGACAGGTATCATATATTAGAATTCGTGAAGGCACCAGTATACAAGGTTTATAGTATCCAGCTATTCTACCTTTAGAAATATATAAAGCTTTATACAAATAGTTTACACCCTTGCTGATATCCCTACGTCTTGCATCCTGTGATAGGCTATATATAGTCTGTAATGATACAAACCTTGATCAAACAATAAAAAAATAACAGAATATTTGTACAGTAAAACCTGCCTTGTAAAATACAGTATATAAATTTGAAATTCTGAGTTATTTTTGTCTTGCAAAAATAAACAAACATTTTTGTAATTTAATTAAATGCTCTTTTCTATCCTTACAACATGTATGGAAACTCCATATACAAAATTTTTGCTAACCTAGGTGAAAGTCAAGAAATTGATGTAATAGTTATCATAAATCATGCAGGCTAAAAGATGGAAAGAACGGGTCTATCATTAACAGAGGACATGTTAAAAGGCTTCAAGATCAGGGTACCACAAAAACATAATATTAATTAATAAACGAGGTCAGATGGATAAACATGTAAAAAGTATCCTACTACTATCACATTTGTTCCAACAAATAAAATTATTAACTATGGAACCTACTATCTTGATCCTTGGATATTTGTAATGATACAAGCTGGACAAAAACTGAAAATTCAATGTCATTAGGCTCAATAAAAATTCATCAGAAAAGAATATAACAGAGTGGTGTGTCAGATCCTGGTCAATGAAGCATGGACACCAGTACTTTTTGAAACAAAACCCATTGTATTTCTTGAACTTCTAACAAATCAATCATAATGTTGTCAATGTTTGCATTTTTTTATTTAGGTGTCTTACTTTTTTTAATGACAACGACATCAAGGTCAGATAAACCCTGCTGCACAGATATGTACACCTAAAAATCATTCCATACACCATATATAGTTTACAAAAAAACCCTTTACATGCTTAAACCAAATATTGTTATATAGTTATCCTATTACTAATCAGTGGGAAAATCACAGACAAAAAAAAACCACAAGTCACAAAACCATGAAAATAAGGTCTAGGATGATGGAAATACAACAGCTTGAGACTTCTTTACATAAGGCATCTGTATAAAAGGTTTGAAGCATCCACGACCCTCTGAAATATAAAGCTTTATACAAATAGTTTTACGAAGACACTGATGAATTGTAATCCCAAGGTCTTGCATTCTGCTTCTTTTCGTTGCAGGCAGTACAATAAAGAACTGTGCCATGAGCACCTGATACACTCATCTTTACGCTTAAAATGAATTTATACGATCAAATAGAAATACTGTGAGCACTGCTCAGACATAGACCCCCCCCCCCCCCCCAAAAAAAAAAAGACATGCACACAGTGGTACCCATTGACACATTGAATAAATTTGGAACTATTAAGGCTACCACGAGTTTAACTACATGCAAGTTAGTGGCCTCAATTTTTTTAACAAATAAAATTCTATTAAACATCCAAAGTGTAAAAAATATAAAGTTCAATAACTTCGCAATGTCATATATACCAGAAATCTATAACAACAAGCATTCTGAGAGAACTGCATGGCAATACATAGTCCTCTACCTGTTAAAAATTCATTGTACTGGAACAAAATGCTAACTTGATCTATAACTGGTCATGGTGTAAACTATATAACAAATAACAAGTCAATATCTTCAAGCATGACGAAAAAAGTGTGGAAAACTAATTATTTGAGTGAATTTTCTAAGTCCAAAGACCATAACTCTGCACAAAATCATCAGACCTGAACAAAATTTCGAACTTGATCTGTAACTTGATTATAAAACAATACACCAAATATCAAATCAATATCTTCAAGCACACAGAAAAAAAAGTGTGGAAAACTGATTTGCCAGACTGGCGGATGGACAGACAGACAGATGGAGCAAACCTAAAGTCCCCTTTTTGTTGGTAGGGGACTCAAAACAAAAGGGAGCTTATTTCAATAGATATAAACAAGTCACCAAAGCTTCATGAAAACTGCACAAAACGTTTTTGAGTTATTGTCAGGAAACTGGAAAATCACCCCTTTTTCTTGAATAAAGTCCCAATACTCCCAAAACATAAAAGCATTCTTTTTTTTAAATTGAAAGAGAACTTATGTCAATATATATGAACAATCCACCAAAGTTTTATGAAAATTGCTAAAAGCATTTTCAAGTTATAGTCGGAAAACTTGAAAATCTATTTTTTAAGAATAAAATACCTTAACTCGAAACCAAAAATTTTGTAAAATACGTCAATAGATATAAACAATTCTTCAAAGTTTCATAAAAATTGGTGTAAGCGTTTAGAGATTAAGATCAGAAATTAGTGCAAACAAATAATATTACTAGTGTTTTCTTAAAAAATATGCTAATATTAAGAGGCTCTCAAGTGCCTGAATTGCTCAATAGAAAAAAATGTGGTATTTTGATATCTACATGTACATGTAATAGTATTTTCTAAATTTTTCACAATTCAAAGATGTTTCGGAAAAAAATTACTCAATTTCAAATTAAAAGATTTTTGAGACCTTTCAGATCAAATCAAGGGGAATATATTGTGTAACAGGATCATATTTAAACTTTAGTAATTAATGAACAAAATAAAAGATGTAATTGAAAAAAAATATATCTCCAAATGGACAACCCCTCATAAATTGCTATGTCCTTCTAAAAAGCCATCACAATATCGGACCAATGACAGAGTTTGTAGGTCTCAAATTGCTAATTTATCAACAAAACAGTTTACAATTTCTATTTATCCATTAATTTTCAGAAACATCAAAAGTTACTAGAAACCATCATTTAAGGGCAATAACTCTTGTAAGCATTAAAGCAAACAATGGTTTCAGTCAATTCAGCATTTTTTGTAAAACTTGCATTACTGACATTTGGTTTCTACCTGTATAATGGGCAATAACTCCAATGAGTCATAGGATATTTAGATGTACATTCTGAGCATTTTTGCCCTTTCAGATTTCTTCCATCTGTTATGATTTAATAGGAATAAGACATTCGAGTTGCCCAATAGACCCCAACTTAATTTGAATTACGATTCAAAGAACTTCATGATGAAAACAATGTGAAAAAAAATCATGACCTACCAACCCTATTTATTTGGAGCATGCAACGGAGAAACACACCCTTTTTTTTTTTATTTTGGCCTGATGACAACAGATGCCAAGTGATGACAAATCTCCTACATGTATGTCCCGTTTGGTCAGGTTAGGTGCTCTTAAAAAGTTGAAGACAGGTCACAGGACAAACATTGCAAGCTTATTATTTATAGATTACTTTTATCATTAACTGAAAGATAAACAGCCAAAATCTTGCAATAAAAGGTGATTTAGCCAGCTACTGACTTCTAAGGAAAACACTAAATAATCAAAATTCTTTTAAGAGTGCTTATCAATTTGCCCTTTGTTACACAGGTTTTACTGTACAAATGGAGTATCTTCTTCTGTAGCTAGCCTGAAACAAAAACTTCTTTTATTTAATTTGGTTCACTTCAGCAGGACACCTACCCAGTGTCAACAATGGGCTTTATTCAGCACCATTTTTTTTAAATTCTGTGCCTTCCTCCTCTTGCCGTTTCTCATAGTGACTGAAGTCATCAAAAATCGAAGTGCTATGCCTATAATTGTGAAGTATTTTCAGTACTTGCTTTCCCTTTTCCAGCGGCACTTCTTGCGTATCCCTGGAGTTTGTAACAGGCTTGTTTTCATTATTCTCCAGTCTTATGTGTCTGAGGTGACCGTTTGGAACGTCCTTCACATAGATCCATTTCACCTCAAACTGTCCCTTCCACTTATCCTGTGCCCATACACCCACATCTGTATTGAATTCCACATTTGTCATCATTTGGGCCATTCCACAGAAATGTCCACTTCCGTTGACACTATAGAAAAGAAATATTGGTCCTTTTCCTTCACGTTCCTTGTATGCCGCGTCCAAACGTTTGTTTCCCTGTTCAGTGCTACACCATACACTATACTTAATTGAACGGTGGATATCGTCCTCCGAGTAGCTCTTGATAATGAAAAATCTTGCCCCTTTTGGATTCAAATTGAAATCCTTTGGATTATATTGATTAGCCGACTTGAGCTTGTCCAAAACAGGATTGGGTGGAAGTGCAGATGTTGCACTTGAAACATTCGCCTGTCCAGAGCTACTAGAAGCACTGTTCGATTGATTAGTGTTTCCTGAATAATTAGAATTCATTGACCTACTACGAGGTGCACTCCAAGATCGTCCTCCGTGTTGATTTCCTTGCTTTCCGGCCACATTGTTCCTTGTATCCCAAGTTCCAATGTCCATATTTTGCTTTTTCGGATTCATTGGAGCTCGGGGAATAGAACCTGGTTGAATCTTAGGCTGGGGACGAGCTGGCTGACTTGCAATTGCAGCCCAAGAAGTCTTCTTAGGAGCCTGCTGCCCGGTAGAGACAGGTCCCACGGGAGGTGCAACGTTACTAGCGTCCCCACCTAACTGTCCAGCATCCATATATCCATTGTCCATTCCTTTATCCCCTGCAATTGTCATTCCTTTAAGTCCCTGTTCCACACTGTTCATAGACGGATCACGTTCAAATTCTCCATTCATTTGTGCGTATGGATCAGCGGGTATCATTTGCTCTTGTCTGTAATAGTCCTCTGGATTAGGATAACGAGTGTCTTTTCTACCCTGTCCTCCATTGCTCCAGTAATCACTTCCTGAATATTCAGTCCATCCAAATTGAGGGTATCCGAAACCACTGAACATTCCATTATAGTCATAACTACCAAATGAAAGCATTGTAGCATCGCCACCGTTTGACCAAGCACCTTCACCTAGTCCTTGTCCAAGATACGGAAATGACATGGTTGGATTATAGTAACTAGGCATGAATGGGTCTGGGCTCGACATTGGTCCTGCACTGTATCCCTGTTTTAAAAATACATCAGATATTATTAATCAACAATCTGAAATGACTTTTACCTTATATCATCTGTCTGTACACATGTTAAGTACGAATTCAGTGATCTCTCCATTCATTTGTCATAAATATATGCCTATTGTTATCTCACAGACAACACAGACCAACATAAATTTTAACTGTTAATTCACATCAAGAGAGAGGCTTGTCTATCAGACATAAATTATTTTCAATGTAAATTTCAACCATGTTAAGGCCAAGTCTGTTTTTACTATCAGGGTCTGACAGTTCTTATTTTTAAAACAGAAAATAAATGGGGAATGTGTCCATGTCCTTCCATATAACGTTATAAAGGGGCATAACTTGAGATCATTTAAAGTGACACTACCAAAATTTAAAACTTGATCTGAGTTTTGAGGTTATAAGCATTTTGTATAAGTTTCATAACAATTGGTTGAGGCAAACTTAAGTTAGAGAACAGAAACAAAAAATTCAGCAATTTTTCCATTTGTAAAGGGCATAACTGTAGAACAGTGAAACTGATGCCACCAAAATTCAAACTTGATCTGTGCTTTTTGATAATAAGCTTTGTGTATAAGAGCCATAACATTTGGTTGAGGCAAACTTAAGTAAGAGAACGGAAACGGAAAATTCAGCAATTTTTCCATTTGTAAAGGGGCACAACTCTTGAAAGGTAAAAGTGACCCCACCAAAACTCAAACTTGAACTGTGTTTTGTGGTAATTAGCATTGTGTTTAAGTTTCATAACATTTAGTTGAGGCAAACTAAATTAGAGACCAGAAACCAATTTCGGGACATATGGACGTACATGGGTAAAACTTAATGCACCCTTCCGCTTTGGCGAGGGCATAAAAAGAAAGAGCAAGACTCATTTAAGACAATTATCAATGATGCATCATCATGCTTTGTCTGATAAATTCTTAAAACTTGTTTACAAAGGTGTTTTACCTGGGCAAATAGAATGAAAGATATTAACAGTGAATTCATAAACTTTCATGTGAACAGACAGTGAATTGTTCATAATTTAGTATATTTAAAATGTTTGTGTACAAAGCAAGTGTACAGTAATGTTTTAATTGCCTTTATTTAAGACATGAATTTTAAATCTTTGATAAGGTTTAATGCACTGATTGATCTAAGGCCAAATAAAAATATATGTGTGGTTCAAGTTACCCAACCGACCCTAAAACTTTTTTTTTTATTCTGTAAAATATATTTTCAAGTTCTGAACGATCCCATTTTGTGGAATGTGAACATCAATAATTAAATTCACAAACTTCTGTCATCTGAATTTCCATAAAAAGTATTTACTTCGGCTAAAAATGTAACAAATTCTCACCAGAATGCAACAAAATTAACTAAAAATGTAACATGTCTGTTTATTTTACAACCAAACATAAAGAAAATAGCGAACTTCCAGTAGGAGCATGTAAAATACTGGAATCGGACTCGGGGAACACACAATTTATTCCGGATTTGACAATATAAAAAAAAGGCCGACGTACTGACCCTATCTTTTTTTGAGGCTGTAACTGGAACCACACATATATTTTTACTTGGCCTTAAACACATTATTAAGGCCAAATAAAAATATATGTGTGGTTCCAGTTACCAGATCGACCCTAGAATTTTTTTTGCAATTTCTAAAAAATAAAATGTTGGTGAATGTGAACTTCAAATTATTAAATTAAGACTTCTGTCACCTAAATTTCCATTAGAAGTAACCACTTGGCTAAAAATGCGCAACAAAATTAACTAAAAACGTAACATGTCTGTTTACATTACAACCAAACATATTCAAAATATCCAACTTCCAGTAGAGGAGTCACTCAAAAAAAAATAAATGCCAACTGACCGACCTTTTCTTTTTCAGGCCTTATATAGTGTCATTATATGGCAGGTCTCACTAGTAGAGCAGGGATCTGCTGACCCTCCAAGAGCACCCAAGATAGAATCCAATTTTTGGTGGTTAATGTTGCTTAGTGTGTTGTGTTTTGAGGACGGCTATCTGTAATTGCCTTGTTTTTCTTTTGGCCATGACTGTTTCAGGTTTTTCTTTTACTTATTGGTTTTTATTACTTATTACTAACATGTTTCAATGGATATGTAAATATTAGTCTTCTCACAGGATATACATGTATATACAACGCAATCATAGGTTTGAACGTTGTTTTCAATTTAGACTTTTTTATATATTGGAGACCTACATACAGTCAGGGGTAAAACTTGTACAAGTGTTTTACTGGTACAGGTAGATTATTTTGGAGGTAAAGTCATATCCCTAAGACTTTAAGATTTATTTTATTTTTTGTCTGTGATGTATAGTTGTCTTTACTATTCATAAAAGTATAATTTCATGCACAATGAAAATCTCCTTGTCTTATCTTCAAAAAACTGCTAATTTACAAGCCTCCAGGAAGTACTTTTTGAAGACCTTCAACAGTTTACTTAACATTTGTGTGCAATAGGTTTCTTTGTTTATTTTTTTAGATAAAATGTTGAACTCTTAAAAAAAAAATATTTAGGGATGTAAAAAAATTACTTTTGGAGAAGATTGACGGGAGATTATTCAAACCTTGAGAAAAAAAAAAAATCTTACAAATTTACATATAAAAGTAGGTATTATATTTCTTGCATCTTCAGTAAATAAACAGGATGTGTGTAAGTATTACCCCCCACTAACAAATAAATGGTGAACATGTACTAATAACACTTTTCAAAAGACTTGGCCATGTTCTAGCTAGGGGTTTAGGGCAGAGGGACACAGTTAAACAAAGGGCATATAAACATGGTTAATTGTCTGAAAAAGAAAATCTTGATAATGGTTAGGCCACAAAAAAAATATGCTAGGTTCTCAGGCCCCGCCTAAATCTTTAAAACACTCCTGCTTCGACAATTTTTATGGATCTCGGTGGAAATAAGATGTGCCAAAGCTAATACAACTGCATACCAAATATCATTGACCTACCACTAGTGGTTCACCATAAACTAGACCTAACCACAAACGAATAGTCTGTTGACGACGCCGCCGCCGCCGGAAACAGCATATCTGTCTCTCGCTTTTTGACGCCGTCAAGGCGAGACAAAAAAGTGGCCCGAGAACCTAGGCATTTTTTTGGTATGGCCTTAAAGATAAAATTTTAAATAACTGAATATATGAATGTGTTGTTACTGGATGTATAGTATTTTATTGCCGTAAAAAAAAATTCCAGTAGCTTTGACGATTTTTTGCTTTCAAAATACAATAAATTAATTTTCTTTTGAAAAAAAAAACAAAATTGCATAGGACAACCTTTAAAGGCAGTGAGGAGCTGCAGCGCAGGGGAAAAGATTAGCAGGGGCCCAGTAGCCGATGCTACTGAACTTTAGGTTGGGCCCCTAAAACTTTTATGAAAATGACCATAGTGCTTATCTATATTTTCATATTGCGGCAGGTTGGGCCCCTAGTAGGAAAATGATAGTATTATTCCTCTATTTTTGGTAAGCTAAGACACTGCTTATTACAATGTAAAACCATAAATACATGATGGGCTAGAATTCAATAATGGAAAACTGCATATTTCTTACTGTAGATAATTTGTGTATCCTTTCCATTAAATTTAACATGATTTGTATACATAATTTTCAAAAACCAATGTACAAATGTTATTTCAAACAGGAAGTAGGTATCTGACTGATCTGAAAAGCACTCACTCAATGAAACTCATTGTCAATGTCATTTTGCTAAATAAATATGAAGTCATTCTGATAAGTATAACTGAGAAGATATATTTCTTATTTGAAAACATTGAAAATTCAAATTATTGGAAAACAACAAGTAATAAAAAGCTAAAAGATACCAGAAGTTCTTGTTTGAATTGTTTTACATTTGTTATTTCAGGGCCTTATATAGCTGATTATGCGGTATTGGTTTTGTTCATTGTTGAAGGCAGTATGGTGACCTATAGTTGTTAACTTCCATATCATTTGGTTACTGGTGGAGAGTTGTCTCATTGGCAATTTTACCACATCTTTTTATTTTTGTATTATAAGTGTATGATAAATGAAAAGCACATACACCTTTAACCTCATCACTGTCAAGCTACTGCCAAATATAGTCATTCTGTTCAAAAGCTGAACAACCCCTTTAGGACAAAAAATATGTTCAAAATCAAGTGTTTGGTTTAATCCTTGTACAATGTAAATTCATATAAGACTACAAAGACTTGAGAAGTCTAGTTTTTTGTCATCTTTATACCTGATGTTGGGGTGGTTGTTGAAGATAAGGTTCAAATTCCTCGTCTTTCACAGTTTCTTTAGCTTGTCCATTTGCCACTGAAAATAAATTTTAAACTATGGTATAGTTCTATGTAGTTATTTATCTTAATGATCGAGGGTATACAGTTTTTGTGGAGATTGAAGATAGGTCGTTTGCTATTTTTAATGAGTTGATTTTTGGTAGCCAATCATATATATCTATTGTAACAACGTACATTGTATCAAGGGTTTGCAATGTTTATTGAGTTGGTTAATCGTAGATTGTATCTATTGTAATGATGGAGGGTTTGCATTTTTTTTATTGAGTTGATTTTTGGTTATATAATTATCAATTGTGATAAATTGTATCAAATATTACAATAGATGTCTTGGATTGTTTTATTGAGTTATATTAGAAGAAAATGAAATCAATTGTTCAATCAATCCATCAATTTTTGTAAGTCAACTGTTATAGTATGAATGGCTGGTTCAATTCTGTACCTCAATGTTAAATACCACAATATACTGTCATTTTAACGAAAATGTGCAAGACAGGAACCATTAATAACATAGAAAACAATAGAATTAGAAATACTAACCAGAATAACTTTGCAATTCAAATAAGCTTTAACAAAAAGCATAAATAAACGACATAATTTATATCTTCAATAACAAAACACAGAATCCTCATAACTTACTATAATAAATTCAATTATAAATGACTATTATTTTACTTGTTTTTTTACATTAACAGACGTACTGAAATTCATTGTGACTATGAATTGACAACTTGGCTGTCCTATCAGGTTTCTGAAACAGAGATATGTCTTTTCTGTCTGCATAAAAGACTATCTGATGGATAGCAACATACAAATTAATTGAAAGTCGATGGAAAAAAATTAACATTGAAAATTGGTAATTAATTGAAAGTTACTGGACAATGAACTACGGGGACAGGGCCTTAAAATAGTCGTTAAACTGATATGTTCTGATAATAAGATAAGTTTATAGAAAATATCATTGATCTATCACTAGTAGTTCCTATCAAATGAACTTAAGGGGAAAAATTAACAATTGTTAACGCCAACGTCGTCACTAAAAATGTGATACCTACGTCTTGCCTTTTACGACTTTCGTTGTAGGCTAGACAAAAATGAATCTACTGGTTTCAGGGAAAGTCTCTTTTATCTTGTTTGTGAAATGATTTAATTTCGTGTTTGTCTGTGGACATACCCCCCTTTTTCGAAATTATAAGACAATGGCATGCATTGTATTTTTAAAACAGCTGAATAATAATATTTGGAAATGATGACATAATAGCATACCAAAAATATTGTTAGTAAGCTGAAATATATATTTATCTTTTTACATATTTATGTCTTGTAATATTTTTTCCCCCGACCTACGACCCAACTTTTTCATGTGAAAATTGTATATTAAAAACCCCTGGCCTATCCAATGTAGAATAAACAAACACACAGCAATAAATATAAATAGGCTCTCTACTGCCACCCTATCATTGGGAAAAGCAAAATAAGTAGATTTAACAAAAAATTCCTTGTCAGGTTTTTTTACGATCATGCAATTGGGTTAAGGGTTTCAAATCGTATAAGTTGACTGGTTAACTATCATAGCTGATGCAATTTAAAATGTGACAGGACTCTGTGTGGTAGTGTACTTTTTTGTATATTACTGTGGTGTAGTGACGGTGTAGTTTGAATTGTTGTATACATTTATTGTTTAGATTTTAAAAATGCAATATTCCCTTTTGACTGCTCCTTGGCTGCCCGAAACAGTTACATATGCCTTCAAAATATAAAATTGTCACCATAATTATTTGTACTATTGGGAATTATGAAAAAGGAAAGTCGAAATTTTATTTTCATCCTCATATATCATCCAGGGAAGCAAGTTAACTCGTACCATTGTAAACTCGTACCACGTAAACTCGTACCAAAAAAGTTAACTTGTACCAACGTGAACTCGTACCACTGGGAAGTCGTACAAATCAGAACTCGTACCACTGCAAACTCGTACCATTAAAAATATATTCAAAAATACGAATGTTTTATGATTTTTTTTTTTGGTAAACTTAATAAAAAAAGTTGAATTACTTGAATTTTATACTAGATTTTATTTTATGATTATTTTTTTTAAGCTTTATACAAAAAATTAAAATATCTTTGAATTTTATACCAGATTTTAATGAAAACTTAGACAAAAATCAACTTGTTTAATCATATTATTAAATTTTGATTGTTGTTATATAATTTAACAGCTTGGAATTAAATGTATAATGTTTATTATTAAATGAAATTCCTGATTATCAAAACATAAGCTGACATGAGTTGTCTCAAAGCTCACTTTCCTCATAAAATGGGGCATGTTTGTGAGGTTTCTCATAACCACAATGGAAGACGACAATTGTATATGGTGCCACTCTCTGGTTAGACCCCGACAAGAAGCAATAGAGTGTGATGTATGTTCTAAATGGCAACACAGAAAGTGCGGAAATATAGGTAGCTACAAATTGGTCATTGTAATTTCAAATTATATACATTTTACAGACTTAAGAGGTATCGAGTGAAATTAAGTATATATTCATCATTAAACACCATTTGAATGCATTTAAATAAGTTGGTACGAGTTTACAATGGTATGAATTTACCGTGGTACGAGTTTGCATTGGTACGAGTTCTTTTTTAGTGGTACGAGTTGACATTGGTACGAGTTTACAATGGTACGAGATAACTATAATTCTCATCCAACTGCTGAAAGAAACAAATTTTATCCATTACGACCATAAATATATATTCTGGTTCATTTTCAACCTTCCAGTAGTAGATTAGTACTTATTGCATTTTTTATAACCGAAAGTAAAGTGAAATGATTCACCAAATTTCCCACCAAAATTTTTTGTCAATAATAACGTACCTTGATTTGGCTGTCCTTTTCCTCTCTGAGGTTGGAAGTACATGAAAAAGAAATAACACGAAATCAATGGCAAATAACTAATATTAAGATCATCAAGGGCTGAATTAATTTACGTATTAGGGCGTTTATTGATTACAGGAAATTACAAATACATTCACAAAATGGCGCATGGTGACCATACCTGATCAAGACTCGCAGACATTCCACAAAACAAGTTTCCACGTTTGTGTTCGAATTTAAAAATAAGTCTATATTGTCTTTAAAATGTAAGGTTTCTTAAAAACCACACCACTATTTCTGATAATTTGTTGTAAACACTAAATCTGAAGAATTATTTATCAAAGAGCACTTCCCTCCAAGGAACAATGGCGGCGTATATGCATGTGCCTCGTTTCCGTAATATCCACGTGATTGAAAGATGACGTCGACATTAAATTTCCTTATATAAAAAAGGGGGAGCAAAACATTCATTCATTATTCGGATTTATTCTGATTATTGGCCACCTGTGTAATTGACACCACGCAACAGAGATATATTTATGGACATATTTAAATAGGGGAATAGATTTATAATATTTATGATCATTTATTTCTTCTTGAAACAAAAATGAGGGTGGTAAAGGGTTATTTTCGTGCAACGTGTTTTGCCATTTTTATTTCACGTGCAGCTGTGAAAAAGGTTCGTTATTCACCGTGTTTCGTGAAGTCGGTAAAGAAATTTTTAATTGTTCGTTCATCGTGAAATTGCAATTTTATTTCGCGTTCCTCCATGCAGATACCCCCCCCCCTTTTTACGCCCCACAATAATTTTGATTTTTGTTTTTTTTTTCTCACTGTTAATGTTTGTGCGATATTATTGTTTTACCTTCTGAGAGGTCAAACTTAAACTTTGGGGACGATCATTTGAAATTTTTTTTGGGTCTGAGAAAATCAGTAATTACTATTTTAAACTAAGCCTGGTAGTAGGAACTAGTTACTTTGCACACGATGGGATAAAAATGAAAATTCTGCAACAAGAAATGCAGGGGACAGTACTTTTATGTTTTTTCTACTTTCTGAAATGTCCAAAGTTGAGGGGGGGGGGGGGGGGGGCAAAGTTAACTTTCGTAAGTGGTCAAAATATCAAAGTCTATCAAAATTGGCTTCAACAACTAAGTACACCGAATTTAAAGATACATTTTATAGATATGTTAATTGGCTTAATAATATATGCAAGAATGGGTCCCCATTTTTCCATACCCAAGAATGAAGGACACTAATGGCCGATTCAGTGACCCTTATCAGCGACATCCGGGGTGCAATGTTTTTAATGATGTTCGATTAACATAAAAAGTAATGGGAAAATAAATGGGTACCCTTCATCAATTCTTCATATTATTTTTATTAATCATCTGAATTCTTATTAACACATACGACAGAATTCTACATAGATTTACCTTTCTGCATGGTGGTATAAAAAAATCAGTTTATCTTATCTCATTGTTAGGTCTCCGATTTTTTTCAAATTTCATTATCTAAATTCCCTTACTCACATCAGTAAATAACGATGAATTACCTCAAAAGAAACGAGACAGCAGTAACTAAAAAAATTTAAGCACACTTAATATGCAAAGGAAATACTATTAACACTGACATACTGTTGAATACTTCTGTCAAAAAGCTATATTTTGATGTCAGAAAAGTCAGTTTAAATTAAGAAATTCTTAGGTCTCCGGCGTTTTGAAAAGTTGTCTTTGAAAAAAAATAACCAACACAAATGTAATATACGAAAACAACGTACATTAGCGAGATCATACTGTTATACATGTAAAATAAATTCCATTTGTTCTTAAATAAATGAAATAATACATAATAAGTTCAAATTCAAAGTGTTCACTGCGGCTATTTTTTATTGTTCAAATAGAAACGATAAATATTGAATACAAAATATTTGGCGAAACGTATTTAATGATAAATGATAAAGTATACATTTACATTTAAATAATAATAAACGATTCGCTGTTCAATTTTTTTTCTTCACCCGTACAACATTTTTCCATCATTTGTATTTCGATGATATTTAAAGAAAATGAAAAGGTGGTATTTTAAAAAAGCTCGAAATTGATATATTGTCAAATAAATTTTATTATCAGCAGACACCCTGTCGCTTGATTGTCTTTCCTATCTCCAATTACGATGTCTTATATATGCTCAATAGGATGCCACTGTTTGTTTTATTAAATTGAATCTGAAACAAGTTGCTTTTTAAAAAAAAAAGACAATACGTGAACCTTAGAACTTTTTTTATTCTAATTATTAATTCAACTGAATAAGGAATTATATATCAGTGTTATCTTGTCCATGTGTGTGGAGGATAATATTTTCTTTTTATTTCTTATTATTAAAATGTTGGCATGTTGAGAGAAGTGTTAAATATAAAACAAGGAGAGAAAAAAAAAAAAAAGATTCCCAGACGTATAATTTCTTAAAGAATAATAATAATTCAAAACATGGAGGACACGTACATGTACCTTCTTCCAAAAATTCATAAAATTAATCTAGAAATATAAGTAATGAGGCATTGCGAACTGGTCAGCTAGCAGGACACATGAATGTTCGTTACCGACCAATAATCAATAAGTGTAACTCTCCAGCGAGAGATACTTACTTGATCTAATTATAATAAAAAAGAAGATGTGGTATGATTGCCAATGAGACAACTCTCCCTGCACAAGAGACCAAATGACACAGAAATTAACAACTATAGGTCACCGTACTGCCTTCTTTCAATGAGCAAAGCCCATACCGTATAGTCAGCTATAAAAGGCCCCGAAATGACAAATGTAAAACAATTTAAACGAGAAAACTAACGGCCTGATTTATGTACAAAAAATGAACGAAAAACTAAATGTAACACATCAACAAAAGATAACCACTGAATTACAGGCTCCTGACTTGGGACAGGCACATACATACAGCAAGTGGCGGGGTTAAACATGTTAGCGGGATCCCAACCCTCCCCTAACCTGGGACAGTGGTGTAACAATACAACATAAGAACGAACTATAAAAATCAGTTGAAAAAGGCTTAAGGAGGTTCGCTACTCAGTTGCAAAATAACAAGCTTTTCATAACACTAGTATAAATTGATAGGGGATTATTAAAGGAACCAAAATAGCAACAAAAAAAATATAGGTCAATGTGCTTGTTTTCGAGATATTAGCCATTGAAATTTTGGCGGGAAAATGTTCTCTCTTGATTTTTCATAGCATTATCATTGAAAAGATCAAGTTCTCAAAAACTATTAAAAAATAACAAAGATTTTATAAGACTTTTACAGATGGCTTATAATTATACATGTAAAAGATTTATAAAAAGAAAAATGGGGGTCAATGGGCAAAATTTTAAGGCATTCACATGGATAAAACCAGAGGATTCCGAAAATCTGACAAAAATTCCAAAACATGGCAAGCGAACATCCTTAACTCATCAGATGGATACAAACAGAAATACTACACAGAGTGGACGTGGCCGGGTACTTGTATATCCCAACAACAAATAGGCACTAAGTACAGATCTGAGAGTACTCACAGTTACTGACAGATATTTCAAAGCCACTAACAACTAATTAAAAAAATCATGCATCTAAGACTAAATTATCAATTAGTACACATCCAACATCCAATTATTGAAGAGGCATAACTTTTACATTCTAGATACAAAAAAAATTTCATTAATAAAATAGAGTCACACGAGGTAAAAAAGTATGCATTCTTATTGCCTATGATGTACGTCAATGTACACAAATATGATTATGATCATTGATAATTTAGAAGAAACTGTTTAGAAAATGCATTAGAATTTATTGACACACAGGAGAATATACTTTAAAGATTCTCAACAAAATAGATTTAACTGCATTTGTTAAATTAATTCTTAGAAACAATGAATTTGAGTTTAATGGACTGTTATACAAACACATTATAGGAGCGCCCATTGTCACCAATATGCACAGATCTGCATCTGTCTGCCCTATTCATTAAAATCTTAGATAAGTTCCAATGGAGAGAAAACATCAAATTACACTGTCAATATAGGGATGACGGTTTTATGGTCTTCACAGGCAAACTAGAGCAAGTTGAAGATTTCTTTAACCTTGCAAACGAAATTGACCATCTACTTAAGTTCTAATATGAAGTGTCGACATCTAGTATGGCCTATATATTTAGAGGGTGGTAAAGGGTTATTTTCGTGCAACGTTTTCGGCCTTTTTATTTCACGTGTTTCCGTGTTTCGACGTTTTATTTCTCGTTTTCTCGTGTTTGGTTCGATGTGCGTGCTTCGTGTTTTCCCTTAATTATTTTCCGTGTTTCGTGTCGGTACTCTTATTTTCTCGTGCTTGTCCCGCATTTGATTAAAAAGTAAACCGGGACTAATTCAAAGTCAGCCCAAATATTGTTTTTAATTATAAACTAATTAACTGGTCCCAAGATATTTATTAATAGCCTATTGTATAATTTTGATAAATCGGATGCAACTAACGGACGCTAAAAGGTGACCACATGCAGGGTCGCCATGTCCATTTATAATGACTGCATGATCTCCAAGAACGGCTGAGTAATAACTTTTTGTACTTTTTTCCTTAATATTTACGATTTTATTCCTTGGCTTCGTTTTTCCAGAGAGTTTTTTTCCCGTGCAACGCTTTTGCGATTTGTTATTTCACGTGTTTCCGTGTTCAGACCCTCCCTTTTACCTCCCTCTATTTAGATATCGAAGTGTACAAAAGTGAACGATTCCATAATAATAAAATTCTTGATGTTAAGTCACATATATTAAAAACACAGAAACGTATCAATATTTACCAATCACGAGTCAAGACTTTCTGCAGCGGTCACTGAAATAATAGTGATATCAATGAATTAAATAAACATTTAATTAACTTACAAGATAACTTAATTGATAGAGAATACTGTAAAAAGGAAACAGTAAAAGTTGTAAAAATGTATATTAACGAACAGTCTTTATTTTAATTGTTTTATTTTCATTTGAAACAGATTTGTTTTATCTGATTTGTCAAAATGACAAGTGTGCATAATGATTTTATTGTTACAAATCAAATCCCAAAGCTCACTATAACTCATTATGTAGAAACCACAGCACTATTTTAAAATATCTCTCTGTGAATATCTAGAAAAAAGATATAAGAAGATGTGGTATGAGTGCCAATGAGACAACTCTCCATCCAAGTCAAAATTTATAAAAGTAAACCATTATAGGTCACAGTACGGTCTTCAACACGGAGCCTTGGCTCACACCGAACAGTAAGCTATAAAGGGCCCCAAAAAATTACTAGTGTAAAACCATTCAAACGGGAAAACCAACGGTCTAATCTATATAAAAAACGAGAAACGAGAA